CCCAAGTATTATGGGGGGATCCACCCCGGGCGGTTCCCCCTTTAGGGTTGCCCCCCTGAAGTTTCCCCCCGCCCAAATTTCCCCCCTCCTTCTTGGCGGGAGAGTAACCCGGGCTTCAATTTTTGGGGAGAGTGCCAAACACCCCAAGGATTTCCTCGAGAGGGCGTCTGCCAGACGAGATTACGCGCTTGAAGAATTCGTACGTATGACTCGATCGCGTGACGAGATCCAAGCGAAACTGGCGGACAGCGAACTCCAGCGGGACAAGGCGGCTACCGAGTGGGCGGATGCCAAGCGTACGCAAACGGAGCTGGAATCCAAGCTTCGCCGCACTAGTACGTGGATCCTCTTTTAGCCTTTGCTAGTAACTCCATATTCACTTGTTATTGTCAATCTAGGTGACAAATTGAAGGAAGCAGATGTGACCACCGCGAAACTCCAGGATCAACTCTCCGCAGCCCAAACTCAGCAGCAACAGCTGATCCTGGAGCGCGATCGTGGCTTGTCGGAGCGGGATTTGGCACGTCGACGACTGGCGCTGGTGACAGCTGCCGTTTCGGATCCACTTCTCCCCTTGTCGGGGCCCTCTCAGGCTGCTAGCGTCTCTGCTCCTCTTCCGACTGTAAGTGGGGCGGATTCGTCGGCTGCGAAACGCCCGCGTAGTGCATCTCCCGCTCCTAGCACCGGATCCTCCCGTCCCCATAAGCAGGCCCGAGCTTCCCCGAAAACCAAGCCCAAAACGACTCCGGTCTCTAAATCGGCTCCGCAAGCGGGATCCACTTCTAAATCGGCTCCGCAAGCGGGATCCACTTCGGTGTCCAAGGCGGGATCTACACCCGCGTCCAAGACTTCCGCTTCCCCCTCGAAGTTGGGTGCCGGATCCAAGTCTGGATCCACCGCTAGATTCAAGTCTACCTCGGCGTCCAAGACTGGATCTGCCGCTAGGTCCAAGTCTGGCTCCGGACCCCAGACTGGGTCTACGGCGTCCAAGACTGGACCCGTTGCTACGTCCAAAGCGGGAGTGGGATCCAAGGCTGGATCCACTGCTGCTACGTCAAAATCTGGATCCGGACCCAAGACTGGGTCTACGGCGTCCAAGACTGGATCCGTTGCCCCATCCAAAACAGGATCAGCGGTGTCCAAGTCCGGATCGACGGCCAAAACGGGATCTACGTCCAAGACGGGATCCACCGCCGGTCCTTCGGTGACGACGCCGGCCGTTCCCCGGCCAGCCTCAATCGGCCATCCGCCAGCCCGTGCTGGACCCGGGAAGGGGAAAGCTAAACGTGTTATTCCCCGGGATGTGGAC